CAACTTCTATTCTTCAGAGATTTTAGTGTTCCCAGATTCACAACAATAGAGAAGCACTAGGAGAATATTTTATGCTAAAAGATTTGCACTGAGAGCAAATTGGGAAATCAGTCAATCAATCAAAAAACATTTATTAAGCAACTACTACATTCTAGGCACTGTTAAGTGCTGGGGATATGAAGAAAGAAAGAAAGTTTCTGGTCTCTAAGACTTCACCAGCTAATAGGGGAGACAACATGAATACAACTATGCACAAACAAGATATATAAATTACAAATTCAGAGTAGTCTCAGAGAAAAGGCACTAAGTTTAAGGAGGACAGGGAAAGGCTTTGTTGATGTTGGAAAATGGAACAATAGATTGACCCAGGAAGATAATCTGGACCAACTAGGGTTTATTGAGTTTGCTAGTAGATGAGTCTCAACCTGGAGAGGCAAAGACTCCCCAAATGAACAGTACCTAAAGTTTATATAGGGTTCAAGGAGTGGGGAACAGGGTAGGGGATAAGGCAAAAGTTGATTAGCCAAGGTTCCTGTAGCAAGGGCTTGAGGCTGATCTGGTGCAATAACAGTTTTCCCAGTTTCTGAGTTAGGGGTTTCTACACAACAGGATTTTGGAGGGCTAGGCTGTCTCTCAGAATAGGTTGCACAACATGTGTAACCTATATCAGTTTGCTTGCCATCTTGAGGAGGGTGGGGAAAATTTGGAACTCAAAATATTATAAAAATGAATGTTGAAAACTATCTTTACAGGTAATTGGAAAAAATAAAATACTATTAACAACAACAACAACAAATAAATTACATAACAGAATACCATGGCACATTCTGATTTCAGTTACTTGCCTTGCAAGAATTAATGAGAGAGTATAGATATATATGTGTGAACAAAATGGAGTGATTCTCAAAATGGAGTAGCTCTGAGTTCTTGCAGAATGTGAAACTTTAACAGACTTGAAGGAAACCAGGTAAGTCAGGAAGTGGAGATGAAGAGGGAGAGTGTTCTAGGAGTAGGGGACAGCCAGTAAAAATGTTCTGAATCATGAGATCAAGTGTTGTGTTAAAAGAACAGCAAGGAGGCCAGTATCACCAGATCACAAAATGCATGGAGAAAAATTAGGTGCAAGAAGACTAGAAAGGTAGGGGCCAGGTTATTTTTGTTATTATTGTCCAGTCATTTTCAGCCCTGTCTGACTCTTTGTGACCCCTTTTGGGGGCTTTCTTGGCAAAGATACTGGAGCAATTTGCTATTTCCTTCTCCATCTCATTTTACAGATGAGGAAACTGAGCCAAAAAGGGTTAAGTGACTTTCCCAGGGTCGAACAGTAGGTGTCTGAGGCTCTGGTCTTACTGACTCTAGGCTTGGTTATAAAGGGCTTTAAAAATCAAACAGAAGATTTTATATTTGATCTTCAGGATAATAGGGAGACACTGGAGTTTATTGAATGGTGGAAGGGGGTCATATTGTCAGGCCTCGGTTTTAGGAAATTCAATTTGAAAGCCGAGTGGCGAATGTACTAAGGCGAGGAGAAACTTAAGGCAGGAAGACCAACTAATAGATCATTGGAAGAGTCCAGGCCTGAGGTGATGAGGGCATGCACCAGAGTGGTTGAAGTGTCAAAAGAAAGCTCTATACATTTTCAAAAGGTAATCCAGCTTTCTCTTCAATATTAGGGCCAATTTATTGTCCATTGACATTGCCTGCTCAAGGTACATCCTGATGAACTAACCCATTGATTTGGACTAGGCATCCAAATACCTACTTGAACAATAGGCACTTTTTTGGTCCATGTAGCTTCTCCTATATGGATTGTTAGGTGTTTGGGGGGTTCTCACTGTGAAGACCCTGTAATTTTCAGGTTCTTGATTCAAACAACACAATATCACCTGAAAATAGGTGCATATGGAGGTCCTTATTATTTATAAAGAATGTTTCTTACACTCAGACTTTGTTTAGGATATCCTTTATGACAGTTGGACTTTTGGAAAACACACATTTCTTTGTTGCTTTTTAAAAATTATATCTAATTGAATATTTGTTGTATTTTTTTAAATCCTCAATGATACTTTTTGTTTCTATATCCTATCCATTTCTAAATATATGCCCCCTCTACTCACAGAGGTTCCCTTCTTAACAGTTTTTTTTAAGTTCAATATATGTTCAACACATATGTGTTGTCTGTCAGCATATGCAATATTCTATATCTGTAGTCCTGCAACTCTCTAATGAAAGAAGGGAAATGCATTTTATCATCTTTTATGTGATTCAAGCTTGATCTTTATAATTGAATAACACTTCCATTGTATTGTGCTTTCGTTTTACATTGTTGTCATTATTATGCATATTATTTTCTTGGTTCAGCTTACTTCTGTCTTCATCAGTTCATAGAAGTCTTCTTATGATTCTCTTAATTTATCGGTTGTTTATTTCTTATGGTTCAATAATATTCCATTAAATACACATACCACAATTTGTTTTCCCCATTACCCAATCTGACATCTCTTTGTTTCATGCATCATTTGATGTTAGTAAACAAGCATTAAACATATCTTTTTAGTTCATTTGTCAAGTGTCTTGCATAATCTTAGCATATGCATTAGAGATTTTTCTTTGGGGGACAGACTCCAAAGATACATTTTGTTCTAATGAGTCAAATGCTTTTTAGTAATCAGCAAATAATAAATGATGAGAGCTTGTATTCTCTGCACTGTTCAGTCAGTTTCATGGCAATAAAGCCACATTCTTCTGCAGGCAATGCCTGGTCCTTTCTCATATTTTCATCAAGGATATCACCAAAATATGTGTAGTTCATTCCCAAAAATGGATAGATAGATAGATATAGATAGATAGATAGATAGATAGATAGATAGATAGATAGATA